TATATATATATATATATATTAAGGCCTAAAATTTATTTACTTTTTGATTTTTTTTTTTCGTTTTTAAAATTTTATAATTTTAAAAAACTGAAAATTTTACTTTCAAATTATCAAAGTGACTACATTTAATTCCATTCATCATCAATCATATTATTTTTTCTTACTTCATTTTGATTATTACTTTCATTTATATCATTGCCTTAATGCACTTTTTTTTATAATTTTTTTTACCTTTTTTAATTTATTTTTTACAAGAAATTAGTTATTATAACATGGTAAGAATCACATATATATTTTTTTATGAAATTTAAATTTTTTAATTTAGATCACTTCTTTGGCTAAAGATTCATATATATATGCGTAATAATAAAATTAAAATTAGAAAAAGATGACAACCTTCTTATTTCAGATATTTGTTTATTTTAATCAAATTTTTTTTGAGATTTTCTCTTATATTTTCCTTCAATAATTGTTAAAAATTATGTGGAAGTTTATTTATTATTTTTCTATTTTTTTTATACTTTTCCAAATTTTGAAAAGACTGAAAATTCTACCTCAAAACCTTATTGAATTATCAAATACGCCCATATTTAAATTATTTCATCATTGATGGTATTAATTTTTTAAATTTCTTTCCTTAAATTCATCAATAATGTTATGTGTATCATTTCCTTAAATCATTTATTTTCCTTTTTACTTTTTTATTTCTTTATTTATTTCAAAAATTAATTGCCATAAACTGCATAAAAATGTATTTTTTTAATATTATAAATAGAATTTGATTTGCCGTTTTATTTTGAATTCTTAGATTATTTCTTCTACTAAAGATCGATATCTATATGTTATAAGTATATCAATGTTGTTCTTAAATGTCCATTGAAATATAAAAATAAAAATAAAAGTATAATAATGCTATGAATGACCCAGTATCGACTAAGAACAACATTGATACTGGGTCATTCATAGATTATTTCTTATTATTTGATCTGAGCAAATTAATATCAATGTTGCTTTTAGTCGATATTGGGTCATTCATACTATTATTATACTTTTAGTTTTATTTTTATTTTTCAATAAAAGTTGATGACCTACAAAATTCAAGCTTTATTCATATTGTATTATAGATTTAAAAGTAATCACTTTCAGATTGTTAAATTATTTCTGATTCATTAATTTTCTATTTTTCTAACATAATATATTAAAATATTAATTTCGTTCTTATTATTGATTAACTATTATTACTTATGAATCTAAGGGTTTCGGCAAAAAAAAATCATATGAACTTGAAGTATTGCAACTTATATTTCATGAATAGGTAATTTATAAAAAGTTTATTTTAAATTATTGTTATACCGCGCAAAGCGCGGACAAGTTTCCTAGTTATTGTATATATTTGAAACTAGCTCACAACAAATTGGCACGGCAGGGCAAACTAACCTTAAAAATGTCAAGAAAGAAATTCCTTGAACAGGTAGGAAAATGCTTTAAAAAAGTATTAGATTCACTATATATTATGGTCTGATACATACAAATAATAATGAACGAGATAACTTTATAGAAGGAAATTCAATTTTAGGTACGATCGACGACAACTTATAGATAATGAAATTTTTGAACAAGTTCGTAAAAAAATTGAGAAATAAAATACGAAAAGGGGTAGCTAAACCGAGTAGGGATTCAAATAAGACCTTGTCCTTGGTTTTATTATCTATGAAAGACTTTTAAGGGGTCGTTTGGTAAAGTGTATAAGAATAATGCAAAATATAGTGTATTAGTAATGCTTGCATTAGTAACGCTTGTATTAGTTATGCTTGCATTAGTTATGATAAGATTATTTTATACAATGTTTGGTTTGGTGTACTAAAAATATTATGCATTACATAGTTTTTTTAGAAAAAAATATTTTTTACAAAAATATCTTCAACAAATATAATGGAAAGGATGTAAAAAAAGTTTTTGAGGGCAATTGTGTCTTTAATAATATTAATGCATGCATTAGAACCCACTGCATTACTAATGCATATAAATAGATGGTATTAGTAATACACTCTTCAATACACAATAGAGTGTATTACTAATACAAACATTAGTTATGCATAGGTTAGAAAAGTGTACCAAATAAGGTACTAATAATACATCAAGCTAATGCAAGCATTATTTTCTTGAATACTCTCTACCAAACGACCCCTTAATGGCTGTTTCAGATTTTATGTAAGTTAAACCGTTAAAAAAGATAAAATCGTTCCACTCTTAATAGATAGTTGTTCTTTGATATTTTCAGTAAACAATCTCCTACGTGGTCTGTGTTCCAGGGAACAACTGGAGACCCCGACTCGTTTGTAATTTGCTGATGAGTGTTCTTGGATAGCTGAGGTTAGAAATGAGTTATCAGATTGAACATGTTTCCAGTATAAGCAATATCTAATACAACAATTGTATAACTAGCTATAGGTTTTGGTTTTCTGTTTGAGGCCTAGGTGATTGCAACACCATCCATGAAGGTGGTTGTAATACTAAGGTGCTTATTTCTCTTTTTAGAGTCGTAAACATTTTGATTGTCAATGGTAATATTCACAATTATTACAAAAAAAAAATACTATAAGAATCAACCAAGTTGATTATTTATTTTTATATAAAGAGTGGTTTAGACCACTTTTTTTTACTTCAAAGTATATTTGAATTATTCCTAATGTATGAAATTTTCTTAACATCTACATTGTGATACAAAATATTGAGATCATGGGATTATAAAAACACATATAAATATTATCTTAACCATCAATGTATATTTTTTTTTATAAAAATATTATCTAAATCTTGATGATGGAAGTTATCAAATATTTTAATAATAATTGATTGAAACTAGTTAATAATCAAATTAGTGATCAAGATACATACAATATGGTCCCTACACCATGATCTATAACTTAGTCAAAATCAAGAAAATAGGATATTTGATCGAACACCTAATGCTACATGCTTATTTAGAGTAGATATCAAATAATTTAACATGAAAATGTCATTTTCACCTTTCTTTTTTATCCATTTTCTCAAGTATTGATAACAATTTTCCCTCTCTCCACAAATATATTTAACTTCGATTATATCCAACAAATACCTAACTATTTTTGAAAAATTCAAACTTGAACTCTTGAAGTAACTTGATCTTTCTTAATGTTTGATTTAACTTACAGATATCTATAAGATAACTACAAATAATATCGATAAGAATATAATGCACTCCAAGTCTCCAACAAAAGAGATATTTAGTGGCAATAGATTTTTTTTTATTGCTGCAAAATATTTAGTGGCAATTGAGTTAATAACATTGAAATCTTGACGAGAAGGAGTCACTCGGATGGTAAGCACTCCTCACTTCCAACCCGAAGGTTGCGAGTTCGAGTCACCAAAGGGAGCAAAAGAAGTGGGAGCTCGTAGGGAGGGTTGTAAAAAAACAAACAAACATTGCATTTAGAGTCGCTATAACCTTTAACGACATTTATATAGAATGCTGACGGTAAATATTCATTATTACTGCTGCTAAATATAATAATGTGACAATTATATTATTGCCGTTAAATAATTACTGCAAAATCCTTTATTTGTTATAGTGATGACATTAATTACCTAAAAGTTAAGACGTTCATGTTAGCTTTAACATGTTATAATACATTGATAATATCAAAATTCTTTATATTATCAATACATGCAAGTTTAATACTTTAACCCTTTTTAGTATATATTACGATCAATTAACCATTGCGTGCAGGGTGACAAAGCCTATATAATTTGTTTCAACTAATTGTCATGGTTGTCATTAATGACTAGCTATAAAACTTGTATATTTTCACTATAAATCAATAACCATTAGGTATAGGACGTAACAAAACCTAAATAATTCATTTCAATTATATTTGACATTATTGTCTTTGACAAAAGTATAAACTTGCAGTATAATACTACAAATAATAAATTACTATTGCACGTAAGGTGTGTTAGGTGAGGATTAAATGTCTTTATGTTTGATTGATGACATTTTCTATAAGAAAAGGATTTCTTAAAAACACAAAAATATTGACTTTCTCAATTGAAAGAGGGGAAATAGTTTTCATAAGTTTATTACACGCTAGAGGTGTTAAATGAGTGAATTGGGCTGACATAGGTGTCAAATGAGTGAGTTGGGCTGAATTTGGGTAAGGAGTTGAAGAAAAGAAAGACAAACTTTTATGCATGACATTTATATAACTATAAAAACATATTATTATAAGGGTATAGTGAAAGTTTAAAGTGATTTCAAATGTAACGAAAAAAGGGTATTTTCAAGTAGAAATTTATGTGCAATTCTTTCATGAACATATTTAAAGTAAATGGTTCCCCACACAGTACTAAAAAGTCACTAATTCTCTCATATTTAAAATTTTCACTAAAAAATATTCAGTAATTATTTTAATATATATTTTTGATTGAATCACGGAGAAACAAAAAACTAGTAGTGTTTTCATGCAAAAAAAAAATAGAAAGCTTCTCATTATTTCAATGAAAATTTGTTTTCTATCATTATTTTCCAAATAATAATACGAAAAAGATCATATTTCTTAACATAAATTTTTCATTGATTTGTGGGAGAAAAACTCTATTTCTAGTAGTGACATACATGGAACATAAGGAGTAACTTACATTCCCATAAAAAATATAAAATAACTACTAATATTTCAATTAGAAAGAAAGAGAGATATGGGGAAAAAAATTACAAGAACATAAAGACTATCATCAGGCTTCCAGTAAGTCTTCTAAATTTACTATGGTCAATTTATTTAAGGAATAATTAATTATATGTCCATTTAATACTTTCGAGGTGAATGTGATGCAAGAAGGATAACCTATAATTTGATCAATTCAAAACTTTTTTTTTGACATTTTCTTTACTTTGTGCTTAATGTTAATTTAAACACAAGTGTTCGTAAAAATATTATTTTTGTGTCACTATAAATAGACCCTCTTATAAAACTTATATTCCACAAATTAAAGCATCTCAAAAAGAGCTAAAGAAATGGCTCAACCTAAAGTTAACATAATAACTCTTTCTGCTATCCTACTTTGCTTTCTTCTCATGTTTGCTTCCGGTGAGAAATTCTTAAGTATTTTGTTTTGTTTTTTCTTGTTGCTTAATAGGATAAAGTATTGTAAATACATCGTCTATATATATGTTAGATTCTATATATGGTATGTTTGGTAGGAAGAAAAATGTTTTTCATGGCAAATAATTTCTTGAAAAATGTTGTTTTTAGGAAAATATAAGTGATCAGTATCCTACTTATTTTCTTGTGTTCGGTAGATAAGTAAAAAATATTATTTTTAAAGCATTCGTCTATAATTATTTAGACAAATATTATGAAAGGTGGGGTAGGGAGATAGGGTACGGTGTGGGATGGTGGGCTTAAGATGAGGTGGTACTGTTTGGGGGTGGATCAGGACACAATTAATGTGAAATGTCATTAGTAGAACTCGTTTTCCTGTAGAAAATATTGTCCAAAATATTTGACCAACCAAACATGAAAAAATTGAATCATACTAACACACTCTAAGTTGCATTTTTATGTTCACATATGATCTCTAAGCTTGGAATTTTAATGAAAACATCACTTACGGTGAAACTAGTTTCCCTCCTTCAATTAAAAAAATCATTTTCCAAAAAATATTTTCCTTCAAACCAAACCAAACCAAACACACTATAGCATGTTGAATTATGGTGAAACGTATATATATGCATACGTTTTGAGGTGGAGGCACTAGGTGGGGGTTCGTGGGTTCAGATGAACGGCAACTAGCTTTTCCGTTATACATATATATATATATATATATATTAACTTGTGAATTCCTAACATAATTGATTGACAACTCAGTGGTAAAAAATGGTGGTAAAAATTATTTTTTACACTAGTACTATTGTGGGTTTGAACTCCACTATTAACAAAAAAATCGCTTTTCCCTTTTAAAGAAAGCACGTTTTGCAATATTTTTCTCTTCTGTCCTAAAATTTAGAACCTCAAAACTCATAATCTTGGCTCCACCTTTGTACATATTGCTTACATGAATGATATATAACAAACACGAACATGTTAAACATGCACAACGTGCTAAACTTTAACTCAAGAAATACCTATTTCTCTTCTGTCCTAAAATTTAGAACCCCAAAATTCCTAATCCTAACTTCGCCTCTGATATCAAATGATTAATGACTATCCAAATCCATAGTTTTTCAAAAATAAAATAAAATAGAAGAACTGGTGTGAATCCATTCTATATTGAAGAATGTACATAACAATTCTTTACATTTCCAGTATATATATAATTTAAATTGTATCAATATTTTTTATGCAGAGACACAAATAACAGAAGCAAAACACTGTGGGAAGCATAGCAAGAGTTGGAATGGGAAGTGTTTCCACAAGAAATGTAACCATTGGTGCATGGAAAAAGAAGATGCAAAATATGGCAGTTGCTCTCATGGAGATTGCTACTGCTACTACCATTGTTGAAAACAACAATCAAAACATATAAAGCCATTAATTTCACATGGCACTATCTATCTTATATTATGTAATACACATATAATTAAATAAATAATGCTGCTATTAATTAATTACTACATGGTTATTATATATATTATAGCAGCAGTGGTGCCATTATCTAAATGGTGATCACTTTTGATGTGTCTCTTTGTAATTTTGTGTGTGAGTGTGTTTGAAATATACTATTTGCAGTCATTTACCTTTGAAGTTTGAACCTTTTTTTTTTTTTTTTTATACTTCCTCCTTTTCAATTTATATGCGTTAGTTTGATTTGATATTGAGTTTAAGAAAGAAAAAAACATTTTTGATACTTATGATCTAAAATAAGTGATAGATGTTTGTGCTTATAAATCATTTTTAAGGGTAAAGTGAGCATTTTAAAGTTGAATTGTTACTAAATTTATAAATGTGTCATTCTTTGTGGGACTGACTAAAAGGGAAAGTGAGTCATATAAATTGAGACAGAGTGAATATTAATTAACAGAAAAAATTAAAGTTTCATAACCATGTGAATGTTATGACATGTTCTATATGCTTATAAGTATCAAAAGTCTTGATTTTTCTTTTTTAACTTTCTACGTATTCAAATTCTGTCACAGAAAATTATAATGAAGGAAGTACTAAAAGGATTTTATTAATATTGAGGGAAAAATAAGTCTAGATACAACACACAAATTGGTAGATGAGTCAAAGCTTCTTATTCATGAATTAATAATCAACAAGCTTGATTCAAACCTAGCTAGTTCTTGAGCTTAGATTATGAAGATTACAATGAGTTTGGATGTTTGAAGTACTAGAATGAGTTAATTATGTATCATAATAAGTATTTGGAGAGGACTCTATCGATTATTATGGTGCTATTAAATCGATTCTAGATCACCCTAACTATTTTGATTCGATAAAAAAATCGTTGGGACTTAGTTGAAACTAAAACAATAAGGCATTATGCTTATGCCTAAATTGTAAGTGGTGTGTTTCACATATATATATGGTGAAGGAGGAGTACTTTATATATACATACACACATGTACTAATTTGTAATGACTATTCAGGTCATTTTGTATTATTGCCTTCTTTTCATCGTTTAGAGTGTCTTATAGCGACCCTAAGTCATAAGATGACTTGCTGGAATTAAATGACAGTTCGATCACATGGTCGTTCATTTGGATTCCATGCACATTTATATGTTATGAGGCTATTGAAACTTGAACGATTGACTTGGGTCAAAAGTTCAGGAAGAAGGTCCCATAATGCAATTCTGACGGTTTCGTCAGCTTCGAAATGTCCAGTTTGATCTACAAGAACCTTTGGTGCGGATTCCGAGACTTCCGGACTTATTCCAAGTCCCCTTTAGAAATTTTGTTTTGCAATTTTTAAATCTGATAACCGAATAGGAACACACTTGTGGAACAAGAGTCTATGATTATTCTACATTGTCACAAAACATAGTTAAAATTTAAGTTAGACGATAATTATTAGAGATCCAATTGACCCTCCACTCTTGTGTCTTTTCAAGTCCAACAATTTAATTTACCAATAGGTGCATAAAAGGAAAACAATTAAAAGTCACATACCAAATATTATTTCATTACAACTTTTATTAATAGTGTAAATGTAAAAGCATATAGTATATAGTTTGAGGACATTGAAAACACTTAATTTTTATTTTAATGAACTTCCATTTGGTCTTTTGATTTTCTCATGAGGCACAATAGAAACAGACCCAATCAAGATCTTGACAAGTTCCACCTAGAGCCCCTTCTTGACTTTTGCATTGGTTGTTACAATGGCCACTGATGAAACACAAACCTTTCCATGTGCCACTGTACCTAAGGCAACCTGTTTGACCCTTCACAATTTGCATCTCTAAAAAGGAAACAAATCAAATGGATTAATTAAAGGGAGTTTATTTGTAGATTAGTATACAATAATACTATGCCAAATATTTAAAATGTAGAAATATTTGATAGAATTTATTGTTAAAGCTATTTGACTAAATTATTCTTTATATATTTTCTCCACCCAATTGGATTTTATTTTACTCTTTCAAAAATTGTTTACTCAAAAAAGAATTATACTATTTATTTTTATAAAATAGATAATCAATGGCTAAGTCGCAAGTTTACTTCCTTGTCTTTCTTTCCTGCTTCCTTCTCATTACAAGTACAATCGCTCGTAACTATTCTTCCCTTCAGCATCTTCATTTCCGCGCCTTTAATTTGTTTTCTTTTTAAATAAAGTTTTTGATGAATATATTGCTAATTTTCTTTGAATTATGGAAATTATAGTCTTATTTATTTCGATAATTTTATTTTGTGGTGCAGAGGTGGAACTAGAACTCGATCCACCACCTATTGCATGTGTAGATCAAGTCAGTACTTCATCGGAGGGAAGTTGTTTTAATTGCGATTTTGATTGCAAAAATAATGAGGATGGTTCTGATGGAATTTGTCAATTTGGAGTTTGTTATTGTAGGATTTGTTCTACCGCTATTCATAAACCTTAGTAGGGAAATTTATTTAATGGATCGTTGACTTCAAATTGTTTGGGATTAAAATTGACATTAATTACTATTGTAATATTAATGCCAAATTTCAGAGACCTCTCTCCATGTTTTGCTCTGTAATACACATTTCTCCGTGGTTTAAGATTTGATGTTTTGTATAACAAGGTTTGTTTGAATTGTTGGATTAAGAAAAGGGTCTCTATATCCATTTTTAAATTTGGAGTGGATTTATATATAATAGTATTAATTTATTTGTGTTAATTTATTTTTAACTTATTTATTAAATAAGTCATGTTTTATACAATGTAAATTAAAATAAATTTGTCAAATTGTAATAAATTTACGTTTATTTTAAAGAGATTTATAATAAGGGAGATAGGCGTAATATCTTAAACCATGGAGAGATAAATGTTATAGAATGAATCTGGAGAGAGATCTAGGGGTGTGCAAAAATCGAACGACCAATAAACCTAACCGAAAAAGAGTTATTGGGTTAACGAGTTTTAAATGGTTTTATAAAAAAAAATTATTAGGTTATCGGTTTGGTATTGAGTTTTTAATATTGGGTTATTGGGTAAAACAATAACTCATTAAAGACTATAATAATTTACTACTTTTACCTGTACATAAATATTAAATATTATTCTCAATATTTTACTAGTAATGTCTTTGTCATTTAACATTCAATTCATACTTCACTATGACTTTGAATTCACAACTTCACATTATACTAATTCCATAAAAATCTCTAAAGTAAGAATCCTTATATTAATATTATAAGTTTATTGATAGAAACAATACAGTACAATACAATGCAATATAATGTATTATGAAACGATACGTAAATTCAACAAACCAACACAACTATATGGGTACTTGTCCAATCTTAGTAAAATTGGAAACCCTTATTCAAACATATTTTTGATTTAGCAGTTGAAATAACAGAAGCAAGCAGATCCAATGCCTTCTCTGTGACAAGCTCCAGAGCTAGCATGCTCCCAGTTAATACATTGCCGGTTGCAATTCCCAGTGTCAAAACAAGGCCCTGACCATGTCGAGCTACGCCTTTCGCAAACTCTTGCCTCTCCTCCTTGCATCTCTGCCACAATAAATGTGGGCACGTGAGGCGAGACATTTTATGCCGTACATGGCGAGACGTAAGCCCCGAGACATGGGGCGTAAGTCTTATGGATCTGGTGCGTAATCTCATGTATATTCAATTTTATAATTTTATTACCAAGAAAAAAAGCAAAAATAAAATGTTTTTGGTACGCCCCGCCCAGTGGCAGAGCCACATGTAGTTGAGGGGTGTCGACCGACACCCCTTCACCGGAAAATTATATTGTGTAGTTAGAGTAATTTTTTTTTTTTATGTATAGATATTACATATTGACACTCCTCGACTTCTACGCAATTTTACTTTTTTATATTTTGACACCCCTTAATCGAAGTTCTGGCTCCGCCACTGGCCCTGCCCCGAGAGTCGAGACTCGCCCAAAAAAATATTTTTGAAAATATTGATTCACAATAGCTAAAATATAGTATTTCTTTTGTTTCAATTTATGTAATGGTTTTTGATTGTGTATAGAGTTTGAAATTAATGAACAAGGAAGATCTAAAATAAACTTAAGATCATATTTGTGTAGCTCTATATAGAAGAGTCCATTTTGATTAATGGATAAGGTTTAAGTGCTGGAAAATATTTTGAAATTGATTTTTATAAATAAATAATTATGTGTTTGGATTAAAGTGTTGAAACAACTAATAAGTAGTTAATATGTTTGATACAAAGTGCTAATAAGTTGTTCCTTTATTAGAATGACTAGAATACCCGTAAATTTTTTGCAAACTTATATATTTAAAAGTATCCTTGTTAAAATAAAAAGTATGAATGAGGAATACAGAGTGGAGAGGAAGTTAGAAATTTTATTTTGGAAAGTTATTTTGAAAATTGCTTGGTTAGATCAAAAGTTGTTATAAACCTAAAAGTCATAAATTAGGATGATCAACTTATGATTTTTGATTGACTATTGCTTATAAACATTTTTGTGTTTACCAAATGACTAGATAAGCAAAAAAAAAATGATTATATGCCAGTTTAGCTAGATTATAAGCTTAGTTAAATATTCGTTAATTAATCTCAGTAAGAATAAAATTTAAAAAATAATAATTTAAATATTACTAATTATAAAATTATATCTTATTTTTTTCTTTTAAATTTGACTAAAAATGAAAGAACAAATGAGTGGAAGGTAATTAGATAGCTCACCATTGGATGCAATGAGGAGGAAGCAAACCAGGAAAGCTAGAATGACTTTGTTATTCATGATATGATGGATTTAGCAAATTCTAATGCTTATGAGTTTTTTTTTTTGTGAATTATAGTGATGGGGATAGTAGCTATTTATAGTGAAAGTTTTCTACTTTTCAAACTTCTTTAGTCAAAACTTTTTTTTGTTTAATATCACCTATTTTTTTTAATTTCAATTTGTTGGCTGATTGTATCAAAATATTTTTTAGTTTTGTGTTTTTAAGCATGTAATGCGGACTTATAAGGAAAAAAAACATTTTGTTTTTAAATTGATTAAAAAGAAAGTAATACAAACACATTGCTACAGGCAAAGTATATATATCTATTGCTTAATATCACAAGAATAAAAGTATTTTTTATTAACTTAAATTTTGTGTCTACTTAAACTAAACAAACAAAGTAAAACAGAAAGAGTAATTATAACTTGAAAAATAGAATAATCACTTTCTATAGTTGTTTAAATTAATTTTAAAAATAGTGGTTTTAATTGAACTAATAGTATAAGATTGTTTTTGAGAAAATGACATGATATGATTGCTATAAATTTAAAAGAAAAATCACATCACATATATATTTAAGAATTCTATATTACAGTACACACATTTTTATTATTATTTACAAAACTTCTTTCTCTTCTATAACTCTCCACTTATTAGATTTTTTTGATAAAATCTTTTTCTTCCCCATTTTTCTACTTTACAAAAGGAAAAAATATATCTAAATGATGAACAGAACATGATAAATTTTACTAGTTTAGTGTAACGATTCGATCCATCATTATTCAAAGGGCACATCGTGTGGAATCTCAAAAATTCTTGAAATATGTTTTCATTTTAAGACTTTGGGGGTATACAACTAAAAATATAGAAATTTGAATTGATCATGGCTGACGTCAGACCGCCATAGATTCCTACTATGGCGGCGGCGCTATAGCACCTGCATGACTGCTATAGCAAGGTTGTTGGAATCAAACCCTAGAAAATATGATGTCTTTTATTTTTCCTCCAACTTTTAATTGAGAAAATCGATGAGGATTACTCCAAAAATCCTCCTAAGTCACTCCAAGCTTGGGAACTAGAGAGGGGAGGAATTTTAGTGCAAGGAGGGTCAATTGATCCCAGGGAATCCCAATCTACGTTTGTCAGGATTCATCCCACGGAGCCAAAAAAATCATGTTTATAGTTCTTCAACAGTTATTTGACGTTCAGGTTGGCTCTGCCTTTTTAACTGAGTAGTTAGGCATATCTTTATTTACATAATATTTGGTAGATGGTCGGAAGATTGAATGTATAGGCTTTCAGATATAGTGTCTAGATGGTTGAATTTTGTGGTTAATTGTGATTTAAGCTAATAATGAACATGGTTAGTTATTGTTGACGTTTTGATGTTGTTGGGTGTTATCCCAAGAAGAAGAGAGTGGGTAATCGGATTATGATTAAGAAACGTCCGGAAAAAATCCTTTTGGGTGGGTGATGATTGTTTGAGTTCCCATTTATGTTATATGTGCTTATCAATTGCTTCGTTAATATAGCATGCATGATATATATGGTTAGGAGAAAGGAAAGAATATGACTTGAAAAATTAAATGTCGTCAATCACATGCAATGAATGTGTTTATTTGGATGTACAAATGTGTTTGCTATTCGTTGTGTTGGTGATTGTAAGGTGTGATTGATGGTTGACTCAGATACCACGCTTGGTATATGGTATCCCACAGTTGGCTCAAATTCCATGCATGATATATACAAACGATTGACATGAATACCATGCTCGGTACATGGATTATCCATATATGATTGGCTCGGGTACCACGTCGATACATATATACTAACGATTGGCATGGGTACCACGCCTAGTACACTAACAATTTGATTTCAAGTCTGTTTAGAAAATCTTTAAAAATAGAATTATTTTTAAAAATAATATTCAAGATAAAAGTGTGTAAGAATCATTATATCCAATCTATTTTTTTAATTCATATTTATAGAGATGAATTGCAATTTAATCCATTTAAGTTCAATCTATGCAATCCGTTTACATTCGATCCAATCTGCTTATTTACGGCCGCTAATCTTAGCATATAAATTTCATTTTTAATAAATTATTTTTCTAAATTGGTGATGCACTACCATTAATTGTAAGGAATTAATGGACGAACAGTACAAGCCTCAAGCTAACTACTTTAGCATTGACTTTTTCTCTCTCTTTATCTATCTATATCTATATGATATATTTTTTTCTTTTTAAGCCTTATTTATTTGCATCAAGGTTAAAATATTTATGTCATTGGATACGAACTCTAAATAATTATATAGGATCATTAATTTTTCAGCATCTAAATGTGCATATCTCATTTATTTATAAATATGATAAATATATACACAATTTAAACAAAAAATAGTTAAATATCAACTATCAACCAAAAAAAGAAATTTAATATAATAAATTATTATCTGATTAAAAAAAAGAATCATTTATATTTGCAAGTGATTTTGGAGATGTTTTAGAATGGTAGAGGTGGCGCTAGCAAGGCTAGAGCACGTGATCTCAAGAAACTTTTGAAACACTTTAACATTGCACTAAATCTTCACCTTTTGTTAAGAAGTGTCAGCATTTATGTATATATTTATTAAAGTGATAAATGTCAAAAACACATCTAAATTATTCATTTTTTATGAGTTTTATACCTAAATTATCATTTATTAATTTGAGAAACATACCTCAGTGGTGTGTGTAATACACTCTTTTTTATTTGCAAGAACTTTGTGACATGACATTTCACATGGATAAAATATTTCACCTTGACAAAAATTAAGTAAACTAATAATATTAGTTAAAAATTAAATATTAAAGCATTACTATAATATTTTTCTCACCCCACTCCACCATCCCCTCCCACCGCGACAATCCACTCGTCCTTTTATTTTTTAATTTTTTTTATAAAATATTTTTAAAAGTAGATTAAAAAATTGAAAGAGGAGGGTTATGTGGGGTGGGATAGTAAGAATTTTTTTAAAATATTTTATAAAAGATTTTATTTTATTTTTTAATAAAAAAACTAAAAAATTGAGATGAGGGGAGTATGGTGATAGGAAGGGGCGGAGTGGGGTCAGAAAACTATTTTACTTTTTATTTTTGTAACGACCTTCTCCCGTCGTTATAGAAAAGTCAACGGGAATTTTTTTAATTAAGGGTGTCCAAAAATAATTATTTGTGGCTGTCAAATTAAAACAAAAAAAAAACATTGTACTCTTTGGGGTTCAAACTCGGAATGCCTTCATTCAAATGAACATCCATTACCACTACACCAAAGGCATAGCTTTTGACAAGGGTGTCAAACTTTAAATATATATATATTTTAAATATAGAATTTGATATATATACAACGCAATTTTTCGACGAATGATGTCTAACTGAACACCCTGGGGTGGCTGTGGTTACGCGACCGACTAAAAGTTAAAACTCCCTAGACCTAGTATATTTGTTTATTTATCTAAGATTAAACTAGTAAGAAAGAAGATGTACATTTGAGATTTAATATCCTTCAGAGCTTCTCCTAATTTTATTGAAGGCAAACAAAGAGTACAAGATTGAAGATGTCAACTAATGCTAATAGAATAATGCAAAATAAAGGTGAGTACATATTAAATGCACTAGAAGTTAAAACTACCTAAAGCTTGTATCCTTATCTATTTCTGTAGTTTAAACTAATAGGAACGAAAATGTGACATTTGAGATTTAATATCTTTTGAGAGCTTCGCCTAATTTAATTTAAGTCAAACAAAG